CTGCGCCAGCTCAACTTGGCAGGTGTACGTATGACACCTCTTAAGTGCACAGTGGTGGCAGCTGTACTGGGCAGTGGAAAACATGCCCTGGATGAGGTGAATTTAGCTTCCTGCCAGCTGGATCCTGCTGGGCTGCGCACTCTCATGCCCGTCTTTCTACGTGCTCGGAAGCTGGGGTAAGGACCCATCCTCATGCATAGGCATGAAGAGAGGATTGGAGTTTAAGAGGGGAAGAGAAGTTGCCAGGGAAACAGGTACTCAGGTACTGAGGAAGGACCAGAAAGTCTGAAAGTCTGCTTTCTGTTGCTATAACAAAATACTTGAGGCTGGGTACTTTATAAAGAAAAGAGATTTACTCATCTCATAGTTTTGGAGGTTGATAGTCCAAGATTGGGTACCTGGTTTGGTTTAGCTTCTGATGAGAGCCTCTTTGGCCCTTGCAACATGGCAAAAGAGCTGAAAAGGAAACAGCTGTATGCAAAGGAGGCTGAGAGCATAGAGTGGCCTTGTTTTACAACAACCCACTCTCATGAGAACTGACTCTCTTTCTGAGTCCAACATTCATCCCCTCCAGGAGGACCCCAATGACCTAATAACCTCATACCAAGCCTCATCTCTCAAAGGTTCTGCTCCCCTGAGCACCTCATATTGAGGATCAAGCCTCCAACTCATGAACCCTTGGGGGAAAAACTACCCAGACCGTAGCAGGGTGGGATGGTGAAGTCTGATGTGGTTGGAGGGATAGGAACAACAAAAGAAGTAAGGGCAGGTATGGATGGCACGAGGCAGGCTGGTGAGGAAGGGGCACAGTAGATGGAAACGTTCCATCTGATCTCCCTCCTTGGCCTCTCACCTCCCCTCTGGCCACCTTCTGCTCCAGCTTGCAGCTCAACAGCCTGGGCCCCGAGGCCTGCAGGGACCTCCGAGATCTGCTACTGCATGACCAGTGCCAAATTACCACACTAAGGTGAGTGCCCTGGGAGAGGGGCTGGAGGGAGGCTCTGGCTATTGTGGGTGGCCAGCTCAGGTCAAGGGCGAGCTCCCTGCCTTACAACTTACCTGGTGCAGGCCCACCCATGCTGTAGTAAAGGGGGTGAGAGTTGAGGCCCTGATCTGTCCCTCCACCCCCAGTCAGGTCCATTATAAACCACAGGACAAAGGGAAGGATGCCATGAGTTCTAGGTGCTAAGAAAGCCTCTTTGGTGGCTAATGTCAGCTCAGGGGACAGGGAGGCTGCTCTAATACCTAGACTGGTTGCCTGGTAACAGAGTCACTGATTCCCTCCCAGTATTTTCCCCCACAAGGCTGACTGTAATTCCGGGCTGTCTCACTAGCTGCTCTCAAGGTGTTGGTTGATTTTCTAGGACCCCGGATGTCTGGTTTTCCAATTTCTGGATGGAGTAAGGGGAGGTGAAGGAGGGAGGAGAAAGGAAGGACAGAAGGATGGGGTGACTAGAGGGGAAAGAAGAACAGGGACTGGGAAGAGGATGGGAAAGGGGGAAGACGGGAAATAGTACTGTGAAGGAGAGGGAGGGAGTGGGAAGAAGGGATGATGGAGAATAGGAGATGGAAAGGATGGAGAGAGGAAAGGAGAAGCCAGCTTTCCCCACTCTTCCTTCTCTGCAGGGACTATAACTGAGTTTATCTGTGTCCTTCTCCTGGGCCGACACTTTCTTATTCAGTTTTGTCTCCATCCCAGGCTGTGCCCCTTTAAGGCCCAAGTCTTAAAGCCCAGCACAGGGCATTTGCAATGGGTCCTTATAACCTTAGGTTGCTTGTGGCCCTAGGTTGTCCAACAACCCACTGACTGCAGCGGGTGTTAGCCTGCTGATGGAGGGCCTAGTAGGAAACACCTCACTGACACACCTGTCCCTGCTGCACACGGGCCTTGGGGATGAGGGGCTGGAGCTGCTGGCTGCCCAGCTGGATCGCAATCAGCAGCTGCAGGAGCTGAATGTGGCCTACAATGGTGCTGGTGACACAGCAGCCCTGGCCCTGGCCAAGGCTGCCTGGGAGCACCCTTCACTGGAGCTACTGCAGTAAGTCCTGCCCGTGGTCCCATGGGTCCCTGGCCGCTTGGTCTCCTCTCTCCACTATGCTCTTCCTACCTCAGGGAGTGCTCTGGGCCTGGTGTCTGCCCTTTCTTTCTGGATTCTGACTGATCCTTGTTAACCCAGTTCTGAGCTGGTTCACCCACTTTGTGACTGACTTTCACCTTGCCCCTGTTCCCTACCACCATTTCTCTTAGGGGTCTGCTGTCCCTGGTCCTGCTGAATTCTTACGTCAATCCTGCCTCCCATTGGCCACCACCCTCCTCCTCTGGTTTGCTGCAGACCCCTACCCCATCATGTCTGGCAGTAGGGGAGGAGCTGTGGGGCTCCTGACTGTCCATCCACCCCGGGCCCTCCTTTCCACACCCCTGATGAACATCTACCCTTCTCTTTCCTGCTAGTCTCTACTTCAATGAACTCAGCTCAGAGGGCCGTCAGATTCTTCGGGACCTGGGAGGCACTGCTGAAGGCAAAGCCCGGGTTGTGGCATCGCTGACAGAGGGGACAGCAGTGTCGGAGTACTGGTCAGTGATTCTCAGTGAAGTCCAGCGGAACCTCAACAGCTGGGATCGGGCCCGGGTTCGGCGCCACCTTGAGCTTCTGCTGCGGGACCTCGAGGACAGCCGAGGCGCCACCCTTAATCCTTGGCGCAAGGCTCAGCTGCTGCGAGTGGAGGGCGAGTTCAGGGCCCTCCTGGAGCAGCTAGAAGGCCCTGGAAGCTGAGACAGTGGCAGCTGAGACCCGGCTGTGGGATCACTGGCTCCAAAACCCTTCCTCTGTGACCTCCCGGCTTGTACTACTCCTTCTAGAATGATCCCTTCAAGGCTGGTGGCAAAGCAATGGTCACAGCTACGTGGGTTGCCACCCCAGGACATGTCCAACTAAGTCTAGATTTCCAGGGTCAAATACGGTCCATTGATACCACGGTCTTAAAAATCGAGTGTGTCTCCTCTCCCTTTGGCCTGAAGAACTGAGGATGTGGCATTTGGGTGACTAGATTGCCATGTGGCATCACCACCAATTTTGATTCTCCCTCTGCTCAGAGAGCCTCTGATGGTACCACCAAAAGGTTCACTTCTGAAACCTGCCCTGCTGGGGGTGTGCCATTCAGGAGATGTGCTGGAGGGCCTCTCCTCCTGCCTGTGCTTACTGTGACACTGAGGACGCCCTCACGTTGGTGCTTTCCCTCACACACATGCTCCTGTATCACACTGGTTCCCATGGCTTGGTGGCCCAAGGGCCAGGTGTACCCAACTTGCTGCTATTAAAAAGCCTCTTCTACCTACTGTGGCCTTCTCTTCCTTACCTGATGCTCCCAAGAAAGGGCACTTTTCCTGGCCATTCTGGGTAAACTACTGACCACTTTGTACAGGCCACTTTTAACAACCCACTGATGGCAGCAGGTGTCTCCTTGTTGGTGGAGGGGCCAGCAGGAAATACTTCACTCATACTGTGTCCCTGCTGTGCAGGGGCCTTGGGAATGAGGGGCTGCAGCTGTAGGAGCTGAACATGGCCTACCTGGTGCTGGAGACACAACTCTAGGTTCCAGCAGTGGCTGGAGGGACCTCTGTAGAAGATATCGGGATGGATATTGGCCAGGCTGGGCCATAAAACTGCTATCACCCTTTTCATACCCTTCTCCCAGGCATGGGGTCACAGTGACCAGCCGTCTACTTTTCTCTGTCCAGAGGAGCAACTGGGTCAGCTGTAGGATCTCTGGAGAAAGTTGAAGCCCAGAGACTCCAGAGGCTGAGTCATAGAGGCTGAGTCAGAGGGATCCCACATTCTAGGCCAGCCTCAGCAACTTAGGTGAGACCCTGTCTCGAAAAAATTAAAAAGACTGGGGATGTAGCACCATTGGGTTCAATGCCCAGGACCAAAAGAAAAAAGAAAGAAAGAAAGTTAAAGCCCAGGAATGGGTGCAAGAGAAACAAACACTTCCCAGAGGATAAGAGTCTCATCTCCGTTAACCATTACCCCATTGCTTCCATAACAGCGTCTTCAAGGAGGCGGGACTTGGGAGGGGGCAGGTGGGAGGATCAGCTGGTTAGATGGACCTTGTCCCTACTCTTGAACACTGGTTGCGGATCTAACTATGGAGGCAGCTGCAGGTAGGAGGCTGGGAGACATAGCGGGATGGGACTTTGGGGGCAGTGAGAGGCCTGATTTGGAGGTTATGGGACTAGGGCACACTTGATATTGGGGCTTGCAGCCCTGAGGCAAACAGAAGTTAAGAAGAAGAAAGAGGTGAGTTGATATGTTTGTCTTCCTGGTCCACACCCTGTACTGATATGCTCAGATTTATGTGTCACAGACTTCGGGGGAGGGAAAAGGAGAGGGATCCCTTTAAGTGTGACTTTAGTAAGAAGGTGAAACTTTGGGAGCAGAGCAGAGCACTAGCTCTGAGTTTGGGTGTTTCCCTAAGTCATTTCAGTTTATGAATGTGGAAGAGGTGATACAGCTGGTTACCCTGCTGAGTCCTTGCTTCCATGAAAGCTTAAGTATCATCCCTCCCCACCCCACTCCAGGAAGAGGGGATAGAAAGGCGGAATCCATGGGATGGGGAGGTCCTATCCCTTTTATATCTAAGGTCTTCTTTTATCCCCCTACATTCCTGTCCTTTATCTGGCTAATTTCCCACTTTCCTTCTTGTGATTGTGGGGGAGGGGATGCTGGTGGGAAGGTGAAAAGGTGAAAAACCAGTGGGCCAATGGGGTGGGGGAGGAGTGATCTGGGCAGGAAGGTCCTAGGGTGATTTGATTAGCACCTCCCTATTTGCTGGGAGCAGCTTCACTAACAATTCTTTAGGATGGCCTGGGGCCTTGGGGACATTAACATTTCAATCTCCCTGGTGTAGTTCTGACCCCACAGGTTCAGATTGCACTCCATTTTCTTTATGGGCTCCATTTTCTTTATCAGACTCCTAGCTATTTCATTCCCTAGCTACCTAGCTACACTAACTGCCTGCTACACTAACTGCCTATCTTTAAATCTGGCTTCAGAGGCATCTGGGGGCAGGAATGTGCCTCTCCTCTTACCCACTTCTTTGTCCAGTAGATCTTCAGGACACAGCCTCCTTAACTCTGTAAGTGGCTTGAGGGTTGGATAAGGGGAGGGATGACCTGAAGGTGGGGCAGCTCTTCAGATGCCATTAGCTCCTGAGCCTGGGACTCAAGTCCAGCTGCCAGCTTCTCCTACCACTTCCCCTGCCTCCTTGCAGAAAGTTCAAATTTAACCCGAAGCTGGGCATTGACAATCCTGTTCTCTCCCTGGCCGAAGACCATGACTGCTCTGGTAACTCCCTCGCCCCTTGGCAACCATTGCCTTTCTCTGGAGATACCGCAGCTCCATGCAGCCTCCCATCTCCTTGGTAACCACTCTGCCTCCTTCTAATATCAGTAACTATGTGGAGGTAGGAGGGGGTCAGTGCTTCCTCTGTCTCAGCCACTCTGCCCACTTGGTGTTCAGCCACAGTGCTGCACCTCTCTCTGGGTAGACATCTGCCCAGTGCCCTGGCAGGAGGTGGGGCTGTCAGGTCAATCAGGCACTTGGGCTGTGCTCCCCTTCCCTGTCTCTTTTCTGCTGTCCATCTTCCCCTCCAGATCCATGGAACCTGAAGAGGCCTCGCTTCTGTTTGCTGAGCAAAGAGGAGGGCAGGAGTTTTGGTTTCCACCTGCAGCAGCAGTTGGGCAGGCCTGGGCATGTGGTGTGCTGGGTAGAGCCGGGCTCCTCTGCCCAGCGCCAGGGTCTCCGGGAAGGAGACCTGATCTTGGCGGTGAACAGTGATGTCGTGGAACATGAGGACTATGTGGTGGTGAGGCTGGGCTGGGACTCCCAGTGGTACGGGAGAGCATTCCACAGCATCTCAGGGGGAAAAGCCAGTGAGCTTCCTCCCTGGGCACTATAGCAACAAAGCCATAAATCTACCTACACCCTAGGATTTAGGGGTGCCCAGGTAGGAAGGGTGGATGCATCTAGAGAGCTGGTTCCCCTGGTGAATAACACAGGTCCCCAGGAGGCCCTAGGAGTTGGCAAGAGGAGCCATTGCCCTTATCCTGATGTGCTCTCTATTTAGGTGGTGCGCCACATCCGGGCCAGTGGTCCCCGGGTTCTGCTGACAGTCTTGGCGAGGCATGTTTATGAAGTGGCCCGAGTTCAGCAAGGGAACAGTGGCCACCTCTGTCCTGTTCTAGACTCAGGGGTCCGGCCCCGGCTGTGCCAAATAGTAAAAGATGAAGGTGGCTTTGGCTTCAGTGTCACCCATGGTGAGCTTAGAGTCTGGGAGAGCGGGGAGGCAGGGTAATCAGTCCTTGTTCTGGGTAAGTAGCAGTCTGGAGCTTGTGGTGGTTTTTGTTTTTGTTTTTTCTTCCAGGAGCTCAGGGTCCTTTCTGGTTGATGCTAAGTGCGGGAGGAGCGGCGGAGCGGGCAGGGGTGCCCCAAGGGGCTCGGCTGCTTGAGGTGAATGGGCTCAGTGTGGAGAAGTTTACTCACAACCAACTCAATAGGAAGGTATGGCTGCCCACTTCCCTCTCTCCCCAGTCATTGGCTGGGTCCATCACAGGAAGCAGGCTCCTCCCCATGTACCCAACCTCCCAATCTGATGGTCTGCGTTTGTTACCATCCCTCCTTTCAGGCCCTCCTTTTAGTGCCTCATTCCTGTGCCTTGGGAGGGGGTACTGTGAGGAGGTGCCCACCTCATCCCTCCCTACCCAATGGGTAATGCCGACACCCTGCTTGGTCCCCACAGCTTTTGCAGAGTGGAGAGCAGGTGACCCTGCTGGTGGCAGGGCCAGAAGTGGAGGAACAGTGTCGCCAGCTAGGAATGCCCCTAGCTGCACCCCTGGCAGAAGGCTGGGCACTGCCTGCCAAGCCTCGATGTCTGCAACTAGAGAAAGGGCCCCAGGGCTTCGGGTTCCTTCTGCGGGAAGAGAAGGGCCTCAATGGTCGCCTTGGTGAGTAGGAGCTTGCAGGTGGATGGGGAAGGTGTGCCTTGGAGTGTGCACTTGCTCACTTCTCAGTGCACCTGGGAGGGGCTGAGGGTTATTCCCTGGGTGTGCACTCTGGAGGTGAGGGGAAGAGGAACAGTGAGGATGTCTGTGTCCCAGGACAGTTCCTGTGGGAGGTGGACCCAGGACTACCAGCTGAGAAGGCCGGGATGCAGGCTGGGGACCGGTTGGTGGCTGTGGCTGGGGAGAGCGTGGAGGGGCTGGGCCATGAGGAGACAGTGTCCAGGATCCGGGCGCAGGGTTCTTGTGTTTCCCTCATTGTCGTCGACCGTGAGGCTGACCGCTTCTTCAGCATGGTGCGCGCTGAGGGACAGGGCAAGGGAGGGGGCAGGACTACAACAGGGCTCGGGTGAGACAGGTTTGCTCTGTCGGCTGGTCTAGGTTCGCCTGTCCCCACTCCTCTTCTTGGAGTGCACAGAAGCTGCTGCCTCCCCCCAAGACACTGGCTCAGCTTTTCTGGTTGAGACCGAGGACCTACCAGATGAAAACACAACCATACCTCCTGGTCCTCTCGGCTCCTGCAAGCGCTTCCTGTACCCTGGGCCTGGTGGCGGCTATGGTTTCCGACTCAGCTGTGTGGCCAGTCGGCCTTGTCTTTTTGTCTCCCAGGTGACTGATGCCCCCGTGGATCTTGGATCCTTTCTATTATTTACCTCCTGAACAGCCTTCCTCTGTCTCCCTCCCAGAGTCCTAGAACACATAGCAAACATATCCATGATGTTCTGTGTTCCATCTGCCCTTTATACCACCAGGTGACCCCAGGAGGTTCAGCTGCCCGGGCAGGGCTGCAAATGGGAGATATGGTTCTGGAGGTGAACGGGTATACTGTGGATGGAAATGATGGCTTGCAAAAGCTTCAGCAGCTGGCCGAGGCCAAGCCACCCCTCTGCCTAAAGCTGGCAGCCAGGTCTCAACAGAGCTTGGAAGCCTGGATTCCCCCAGGGATTAGAAAGGTAAGGAAAAGAGACATATGGAGGTGTGAACCGCCAGAGAAGGGCAGAGAGGAGCCAGAGAGAAACATAGATTGGGAGGACTACTAGGTGACAGTGTGGGGTGTACAGGTGGGGACTTCAGGTCATGGGAGGTGAGGACAGAAGAATCCATGAAAAAAGTTCCATAACTGGGCATTCCAGGGCAGGTTGGGGGGAGGGTAAAGGAACTCTTCTAGCCTTAGAATGACCTTCTCCCTCTTCTATCTCTATAGGACTGGACTCTGAACTCAGATCTGCTATAGGACACCCCTGCTTGCCGTAGTTCTGCCAAGTGGTTCTCCTGACTTCTCTCTGCAGCCTGAAGTGGTGGGAGCAGAGATGGTTTCTCTAATCCAGAAGTGGGAACTAGAGGTCTAGGACACCATCGATCACAGGAATGGCCAGGGACTCCCTCCCTTCCCATGGCATACCTCCCAGGAAAGGGTGTGGTCAGAGACCTCAGGGAGGGCCCTGAAGGAGCCTAGACTCCAGAGGATGCCACGTGGGAGCTTTGCAGAGATGTGTCCCAAGGATGAAGTTCTGCCTGAGAAGGGGATGCTGTCGGGCTAGTTGTGGGGATGAATTGAAGCCATCTGGAACTTGCCCTAGTATGACTCCAGTGTAATACGCTACAAGAATGTGGAGAACAGCTATACCCTCCCTCCATGGATGCCTTAGACTGTGGGGGCTGATATCTGGTAACTGTTGGGTTTTATTATAGAAATGTACTTTCTCTATGAATCTGGCTGCCTGTGTTTCTGTAGATGGGAACAAAAGGAGGTGATTTAAAGGGACCACAAGGGCCCTAGACCCTATCCCTGAACAGTCTCCAAAGGTACTAAAGAGGTCATCTTGAGTGGGATTATTCCAGACTCCCCAGTTTCATTAAATGGCGAAACCCAGGTTCTTGTAGGAGAGGGATTGAGACCTTGTCAAATTTCTCTCCTACCTCTTAGTCTTTTTTTTTAATATTTATTTTTTAGTTGTATACAATACCTTTATTTTGTTTATTTATTTATTTTTTGTAGTGCAGAGGATTCAACCCAGGGCCTCGTACATGCTAGGTGAATGCTCTGCCGCTGAGCCACAACCCCAGCCCACCTCTTAGTCTTCAGGATGTAGAGATGTTCCCAGAGGATGGGGATCACTCCTCTTTGCCAAAGACCACAGCCCACAGCTCTGCTGGGTTCAACATTAAAACACTTTATTACTGGGCCTCAGAGAGTAGAGGCTGGCAGCCTCAAAGATCCAGAGGGTTGAGGCCAAATTGGCGCAGCTGCTCCTTGTGCTTGGCATGGAGTCTCAGCACGGCCCCATCCCAGTGAGGCTTAACAGCTCTCAGTTTGGCCAAGAGCTGGTCCAGGCTGCCCTGCAGACACCAGGCTTTCAGCTCCCAAGAAGAGAGGATGGAGATAAGGGTTGCCCCAGGTTGGTTTGTAAGCTTTCCTTGCTTGCAAGGATTTCTTACTCTGCACTGGTAGGCACAGCTGAATGCACTCTGTCCAACTTGAGGATAGAGCAGTGTTCCTTGGGGACACTTCTCCTTTCCCTTGGGTTATTAGTCATCACACTAGCTGTGGGCTGTGAGGATGGAGGAGTGCTGGGGTACTAGAGCAGCTGGGCTCTGGAGGGAAGTGCTTACATGTAAGATTTCCTGGTACTTGGCCTCCATGTCCACCACCTGGGCCCTAAGCTGAGTCAGGGTCTGGTCCCGCTCTCTGAGGGCTTGCTCAGCCTCTTCCCTTTCAGCCTTAGCCTCCTTCTGGCACATTTCTGGGGAACAGAAGGGAAGGATGAGAGAACAGAATGGTGGCACTCTATCCCTGAACAGTCTCCAAAGATACTAAAGAGGTAGCCTTGAGTAGGATTATTCCAGACTCCCCCAGGTTCATCAAATTTTCTAAAGCCCCAGTAAAGAGCTGAAGATCCATCGAGGTATGATAGAGTGCAGAGGGCTTGATATAGGAGATGGGTCCAAAGTCTGATCATTACTTACTCTTTGTATATTGTCAAATATGTCTCTTTCTGAATCTCAATTTTTTAATCTTTCAAACCTCATGTATGTTGTGACCCTTAAATGTGAAATGGAAGGCAAAGTGCCTGGTATACAAGAGGTGTTCTATAAATGTTGGTTGAATTTGAAATTGAAATAAGGCAAATATTGGGGAAGGAACCTAGGGACTACATGACAGATAAATAGCTCTTGGATATCTATAGCTAAACTGAAAATGAAAATATTTTAAGATTATAAAAAAAACCTCAACAACTTTGAGGGCTGAGTTGTAGCTCAGTGGTAGAGCGCTTGCCTAGCACATGTAAGGCACTGGATTTGATTCTCAGTACCAAATAAGTAAAGATATTGTGTCCACCTACAACTAAACAAATAAACAAACAAGCAAACAACATTGAGGGTGGGGATGTAGCTAAGGGGTAGAGTGCTTGCCTGGCATGCATGAGCCCTAGATTCCATCCCCAGCAACACACACACACCCACACACACAGGAAAAAAAGAAACGAAAGAAAACTTTGAGGCTAAAATTGTGAAAGAACTCATGTGCTATGCTGAGATATTTCAACTTTGTCCTGTAAGCAAGAGGAAAGGAAAGCAAAGGCTTCCTGTTTTTTTTTTTTTTGCTTATTTGGAAAGCTTATTCATTTATTTAGTAAGTGGTTTTTTAGGGCCTATCAGGTGCTAGGCCTTGAAGATACAGAAGTAAATGACTAATATTTTCCTTAGTTTCTTTTTTTAAAAATTTTTAATATTTATTTTTTAGTTTTCGGTGGACATAATATCTTTGTTTGTATGTGGTGCTGAGGATCGAACCCGGGCCGCACGCATGCCAGGCGAGTGTGCTACCACTTGAGCCACATCTTCAGCCCTTCCTTAGTTTCATTACAAAAGTTAGCTTAATTTAGGGAATATGTTTTGCTCAGTAGAGATGTAGAGACAAGGCAGTGGAGAAGAATAAACATTGAATTTGGAGACACTAAGCAAAGGGGGAAGTCAGGTATGAGACCTTCTCTCTGTTGGTGTTTCTTTATTCCTCTCTCTCTCTCTTCCTTCCTTTCTTTCCTCCCTTCCTCCTTCCTTCTCCCTCCCTCCCTCTTTTGATTGAACTCAATGCCTCACACATGCTAGACAAGTGTTTTACCACTGAACTACATCCTGAGCCTGAAACCTACCTTTTCTTTACTTACATCTTTTTTTTATTGTTTGTTTGTTTAGTACTAGTGATTGAGCCCAGAGGCCCTTTCTCACTGAGCTCCATCCCTAGTACTTTTTATTTTTATTTTGAGACAGGGTTTCACTAAGTTGCTGAGGCCTTGTATTTGTGATCCTCCTGCCTCAGCCTCTGGAGAAGCTGGGATTATAGCCATGTGCCATCACTGGGGCTTCTTTACTTACATCTTAGAATTTCTTGTCGACCTGAATCCTCTGCTCAGAGAACAGTCCAGAGAAAGGTATCTAAATTCAAATTCAACCAACAGACTGCAGCTTTCTAAGGAAGGACCCTCTAAGACCATCTGGACCTAGTCAATGACCTTTGGAGAAAAAGACCTGGATGGAACCTACCTAGCTGCTCCCGAAGACTCCTTACTTCCTCTTCCAGCTGATTGCTGCGGGTTTCCAACTTCTCCTTCAGGGCCTGGTGCTGGCGGCTCATCTCTGAAGCAGGGGTAGTGGGTAGCCAGGAAGTCGTGTAGGCATGGAGACATGGAGAAAGGAAAGTTGTAGATGGAGAAGACTTTACTTAGTCCAGAGAGGCCGGAGCATAAGGACCTTCTTAATTTTTCTTGTGATGATGCTGAGAAGGTGGAAACCCCTGAAAATCTGGGGAAGGGTTAGAAAACCGGACCCCTGCCTGATGCTGAAGTGCAAGCTTGTAATTCTAGCTACTCAGGAGGCTGAGGCAGGAGGAGGATCACAAGTTAGAGACCAGCATGGGCAACTTAGTGTGACCCTGCCTCAAAAATTGAAAGAACTAAGGATATGGTTCAGATTTTTAAAAAGAAAGAAAAGGAGAAGAAGAAAAAACAGAAAACCAAACTGCCTTCTCCCATGCAGTTTGGGATGAGGAACCTAGCTTTTCTTTCCACTTATTCTCATTGGATAAATGAGATAATGGCTATGACTGCATTTTGTACCCCCACAAAGCAACACATGGCATTAGGGATTCTGGAAGGTGCATGCCTGGGATGCCAGGGATCTTCCTTGGATTCTTTGCTTCCTTGGGGCCCTTTGGTTGTCCTCTTTTAGGGCCCTGTCTTCTGCTCACCTGCTCACCCTGTCACATACCTGCATATATAGCCTTCTCTTCACTTCGGGCCTCTTTGAGTTCTGCCTCTAACCCTTGCAACTTCTGCTTCAGCAGCTCTTCGGAAGCCTTGGCTCTACGGGACTCATCCCTCCGCAGAGCTGTGAACAGCAGCAGAGCTGCCTTTAGTGTGACCCTGTGACACAACCAGTCCCCATGGGCTGGATAAGCTCTTCCCACCCCTGAAGAGCTGGTGGCAGGGCGTCCAGCCCTTTGCTCTGTTTGTTCCTCTAGAATCTCACAGGCTCTTCATTACTACAAAGGAAAAACTCCTTCTCTATTCTGGCCGTGGACAATAGCTTCCCTGGTATGTTGGCATAGCTCAGTGGTAGAGCCCTTGCCTAGCATGTATGAGGCCCTGGGTTTGATCCCAGTCAGGGAATTTGGGAAGAAGCATCCCTCATCAACCCTCACTGCCTACCGCCGCGCCCCCCCCCATAGTCCTTTTCCATTAGTGGCCGGTTAGAATTTGGCTTAGCCCTGTGCTTATCCCTTCGATCCCCCAAGGACCCAGAAATGCCACTTATGCTGTCCCCAGAATCTTCACCCTTCTCACCCAAGTGGTCCAGGAGCAGCTCCTTCTCCAGCACCATTAGTCTGTGCTTGGCCTCGGCCTCCACATCTGCCCTGGCAAGTTGGCAGAGCCTTAGTTTATCATAATCTCAGTCCCACCCCCACCTTACCCCACCCCTGGACTTTCCTTCATGAGATCAGAGGACCACCCAAAGAAGGGTGCCTCCCTGATAGGACATGTAGAAGCAGGGGTCCCACCTGTACCCACTCTGACTTACCAACACTCAAGTTCTTTTTCTTCTTCTGTGTCCCAGATTTCCTACCTTTTTCTTTGGTCTTAGGTGGCATGTCCTGGCTGTCCTGAGGGAGGGGGGATTTTATAGTTCTAGACATAGGAATGCTTTCCTAACCCCTAGACTTAACCAGGAGACTTGAGTGATTTAGAATTCTAGTTTTCAAGTCTGTCTCACACTTGTTGGAAGCTTTACTTCTTGGTTTCCTGGGAACCTTAGGCAGGGCTGGAGTCTGCAGGAAGGGCTGCTCTATATAGAGAAGTCATTCCTCCCAACCCTCTGTTAGGGAAAATAAATCTCTGTACCAGTTTGCTCCCTTTTCCCTCCATCCTCACCCCACCTTTTCCTACCTATAGGATGTTTTCTTGCCTTTGTGGGGTCTCCTTGTGGAGTGACCCACTCACAGGGAAGGGCAGAGAGAGGCCCAGATAGAGCCTGAGGAGGAGCCTGTGTCCTGGAAACCAATCCAGGCTGGCAAACTTCCTTCAGGGGCAGGACAGAGAACCAGAAGGTTGGGTTTCTGGAGGCTACATGTTGTCCAGGCAACTGGAAAACACGGAATTCAAAGGAAGGTGTAATGGGCTGTCAGCTCACAAAGCTAAAAATACAAAGATCCTTGAAGGTCACTTCTCCCCTTCTCCCAAAATCTTAAATATATTTTGAAGTGAAAGGGCTTTGGAGCTGATTAGCTAAGATGTACTTCCAGGTGGGTGCTGCCTGCAATTTGGAGAGTAAGGAATTATAGATGTACATAGTATTGTGCTGATATAGAAGAAGAATGACATGGCCATCCTGGCAGTTTTCATCTCAAGATCCCACAGGCAAGAGGACATTAAACTTACAACTGAATATTCCCCTTCAGAAAGGCATTTTACAGTGTCTGAGGGAAATAATGCAGAAGCAGGTAGTTAGGAGAGTTTTCCACTTTAGAGAAGTGAGAACGGAGGAGAGGTGGATCCATGGACTTCAGGATATTGGCCCAGAGGGATGCAAATGTCAAGGAAAAGGCAGTGGTTAGAGACAGGAGACATGAGTCCTAGTCCCCTCAATGGATGTATAAACTTGGGCAAGCTACTTAAATTTTCTCAGACTCTTTAAATCTTTGATTTTGAAACTCCTGAAAGTCCTGGATTTTTGCTGGGCATTTACAAGACCATTTTCTCTCACAGTACTTAATCTATGTCGGCATTTCCCCTATTCCTATATATAGATGATCTGCAGACAGCTGTTGAGAAACTACCTCTAGAGGTTCCCTGCCACAGAGAGTTGGTTGGCGCTCCCTCTAGTGGACACACTTGGCCTCCTGCATCTCCTCCATTTTCGCTTTATATTTATAGGACAGCGTTCTGGTGACTCCCTTTTGGGGATGCTTCCTAGAATCCTGCCAGAGTCACAAGTGGTTGGAAAGATAAATTTGGGGCAGAGAGTATGAAGGGTGGCTTGCTCTTGGTAGGTGGCCCCCACCCTCCCCCCAGCCCCGGGGGTGTCTGGAGCCATGTCATCTGTTAGTCACTTGGATCTCTGGGCCATATAGTAGGAATTTCAGAGCTTTTCTCCTTGTGGATTAAGGGACCTGCAGACTCTTTTTATAGGTACTTCTCTCTATCCCTGTTCCCCTAAACCTTTTTGGTCAATTGCCTATTGTCAGAAGTAGATCTTCAGAAATGAACATGAGATCTGGAAATGAAGTCTTGTCTCTGAGAAGCAGGCAGATGCAGGCAGAGGCCAATGCATATTTATTTGACCCTTTGGGCTGCAGGGTACTTCTCTGACCTTCTGGACATTTTATAGAACAAAGGGAAGAGCCAGGTGTGTCTTTCCAGTGCTTATAGCTCCTGTAACTCAAGGCCAATTAACTTTGTACACATTCCCAAATTTGGAGAATACTTTTATTTTGAATTTGCAGCATTTCTTCATTTACTCTCCCTCCAGAATCCCCTCCCTCTGTCCTGGAATATAGTGGGTGTTCTCAGTGTTTCTTCCTAGGAGCCTGTCTGGGGACTTATTCCACAGAATGATTATGTCTTTGTTTATGCTGATGCATAGAACGACATATTGAGGGTAAAAATTACAGAATATAAGCAACATATGTGCCTCAGAAGAGCATTTACTTTACAAATATATTTACTCAAATAACTTTCAGGTGCAGAATGAGGATGTGGTTTGGGATGAAGGTGAAGTGGAAAGAAAAATGCCACATGTCACGTGATGTGATACAAGATGAAACAGCTCTAGCAAAACCCAGAATGTAAATGACCTTATGATCAGCAATCCAACCCTATCTCTAGTACATTTTCAAAAACAAGCAAAATACAGTAAAAAAAACCCAACTATATTGCACCAACAAAAGAAAAAAGTCAAATAAAAATTGTGAGATAAAGGTCGATTTGTCTTTTTGCATTAAGTTTAATTTAGAGGGCTGGGGCTGTAGCTCAGTGGCAGAGTGCTTGCCTAACATGCATGAGGCACTGGGTTCGATCCTCAGCACCACATACAAATAAATAAAATAAAGGCATTTTGTCCATCTACAATTTTTTTTTTAATTTAATTTAGGGCTGGGGTTGTGGCTCAGAGATAGATCGCTCACCTAGCACGTGCGAAGCCCTTGGTTTGATCCTCAGCACCACATAAAAAAATATATATATTGTGTCCATCTACAACTAAAAAACAAAATATTATTTTTGTTAAATTTAGAAGCAAAAATAGGAAAGATTATTTCAGCAGAAGTATCTTCTTTGAATAAAATCCCACACATCTGTGGAAAGAAGGCTCATCCTTTCTCCTTTATTCAAACGTGAAAGATAGGCCATTTGTATATTAAAAGAAATAGGGCCTGCTAAAGCAGATACCAAATGCACATTATTTAATTTTCTGTTATGCAGACCTTACTGAAGAGAATACAAATTGGATACCTTAAACCAAGCCAGAGAGGTGTACTGTATACCTAGACATGCACATTCACAGCTCCATGGGTTAACAGTTTACCTGTATTCCTTTAAATCAAGGATTTAACTATGAAAAATACCCTGATAAATGTACCCTGTGTTAGGTACTGTGAAAGACCCAAAGTTGACAAGATAGTATAGCATAAATTAACATGTGGTATAAGAAATAAATGACTATGGGGCTGGGGTTATGGCTCAGTGGTAGAACGTTCACCTAGCATGTGCAAGGTGCTGGGTTCGATCCTCAGCACCACATAAAAATAAATAAAATAAAGGTATTGTGTCCAACTACAACTAAAAAAAATTAAAATAAATAAAGTTTTTTAAAGAAGGAATAAATGACTAGGGAAATTTATAAGAGTGAAGGATTATTTCTAGCAGGAGGACAATATTTGAGCTGAGTTTGGAAGAATGAATTGAATTTTAGAAGCACACTTCAGGCAGAGGAAAAGCTCTGAGTAATGGTGATGAAAAAAGAAAGAATTGTGGTATTTTGTGACTTGATGAGTCACCCAGCATAGGATAGTTGTATCAAGAAGTAGTACAAAACTGCAAGGTAGTTTGTTTATTTATTTATTTTGTCATTCTGGGGATTGAACCAGGGCACTCTCACACTGAGCTATATTCGTAGCTCTTTTTATTTTTTATTTTTGAGACAAGGTCTTGCTAATTTTTGAGGCTGGCCTTGAACTTATCCTCCTGCCTCAGCCTCCCCAGAAGCATTGCCACTGTGCTCAGTGCCAAACACTGTGGTTTACTTACTTAAAAAAATTTTTTTTTCAGTACTGGGGACCAAATATAGGGCCTCACCCTGGTAGGCAAGTACTCTATCATTAAGTTACATTTTCAGCTTTGCAAAGGAGTTTGGTTTTTGGGTTAGAACATGGCTGTTAGTTTTATTCCAGAGGCAATGGAGAGTGTTTAGTTTTTGTTTTTGTGGGGGTGTGATGCTGTCTTAACTATACTATAGGAAGCATATGGTGGCAAGATGGAATTAAGGCAGCAAGGAAACCAGTGAGAAAAATTTCAGTATCCCAGGGGAAAGAAAAGGAGGGCCTGCAGTGAAGGTAGTGGCTCTAGGGGTGGAAAGTTTTGACATTTAGGAGTTTGCCTAGATTCTTTTTTTTTTTTTTTTTTTGAGAACTGATAAAAGGTAGGAACTGATAAAAGACATTCTATTGGTAGGAAATGATAATGTAGGCTTCTAAATCAGTCTTAGAGAAAAGCAATTGACTTGCAAACTCAGGATGACTGGCTGAATGATCCTTTAGTTCAAAGATATTTTGCTCTCTTGAAGAAGTACTTGATGAACTTAATTTCCAAATCAGCCAAAGGCTTTGTGGAAGAGCTAGGAGGAAGATACAAAGCAGACCTAAATACTTATTTACACACCTGGGCCTGCAAACTCACAAAGCTGAAGCTCAGAATTAACAAATTAGGGCAGGGCACTTCCTTCTTTGGAAAGGAAGTTCCTATTTTTGTTCTTCCAACGGAATTTTTAGATTAGAGAAGTGGGAATGATTGGGAACTACATTTCTATTCCCTAGACCGAGTGAGAGCCGCTCTGGCCACCACTTGCAGAGGTCTCACGATTTGTGGGCGGTGTCTCGTGCTAATGGTGCAGACGAGCAAGGGGTGCAATGAACTGAGCAGAAGATTCTTAAGTACATATTCAATTCCCAGAAAACGGCAACTCCCCAGAAGCAGAAAGGGAAGTGCTTTGTGTTAAGAGGTCAAAAGCATGGAAGAAGTGCTCGTGGCCTGAGGGCTCCCAGCTTTTGAGCCTTTCTGGGGCCTAATCAGGTTGGAACAATCTTCAACGTTCTTTTTTTCTGTACTCAGTCGCGTCTAATGAAGAATCTAAAATGCCAGAGAATGGAGACATGTTTCTTTTTTCTTCCATTTCCCACAGTATGAAGCAAATAACTATAAGTTCAATTTCCACATTTGTCAGGCGTGAGGAAAGGACTTGTAAAGATTCTTTCCACTATGAATTGCTACTTGTCAATGACCCTCTCCTAAAGCACCAACCTCCAGCCAGCCCACAAAGAACATGGAGGTCTCGGCTTCCGCCTAGTGCGCAGGCTTCACATTGGATCCCACCCGCTTCCTTTTCGCGCGTCTCCAGCAGAGGGCGCAAGCGCTGAGGTTTTGCTGGCCCCGCCCCCTTCCAACCCTCGGGGATAGGGGCGAGGGAGGCGGGCGCGGAAACTTGGCGGCTGCTTTCCCGGAGCTGTGGGCACGTGGGCGCTGGCGAGTGGGTGGGGCGGGAGGTGGGGGGTCTCTCCCGGGTTCGGACGCTGCCGCCTGCTTTCCCCAGCTCTCGGATCAGCCGTCAGTCCCTGGCGCGCGCCCCCGCGCTCCGCCCGCCGGGCTCGTGCTCGCTAAAGGGGCGCGCCCTGCACCCTCCACTGCCGGCACCGCCCACTCCCCTCCCCGGGGCCGCTCCTCCCACCGTTCCGAGAGCCGGCGACTGCTGCGGCCGCGAGAGGCCCCTCCTTCACGCCCTCCTTTCCCTCGCTCGCTGCCGAGCCGAGCCGGCCGTCCGGCTGGGCCCCCGACTCTCCCCGGCCATGGCCGGTAACGTGAAAAAGAGCTCTGGCGCCGGGGGCGGTGGCGGCTCCGGAGGCTCGGGCTCGGGCGGCCTGATCGGGCTCATGAAGGACGCCTTCCAGCCGCACCACCACCACCACCACCTCAGCCCCCACCCGCCGGGGACTGTGGACAAGAAGATGGTGGAGAAGTGCTGGAAGCTCATGGACAAGGTGAAGGGCCTGCCGAGGACCCGCGGGAGCAGGGTGGGCGTGGGCGGAGGGCCTCGGCCAGCGCTGGGATCGGCGGAGGAAGCTGGGGGAGGGTCTGGAGGCCAGGAGCTGGGGTGACCCGCCGGCCGAGGGGGGCTGGGGGTCGGGAGCCGGGGCAGGGGAGGAGGCCGGACGGTGGGTCGGTTGGGGGGAAGGGCTGCCGTTGGGAGTTGGGGACGTTGAGGTGTTCGGGGAGCGAGACAAAGATGGGGTGGGGGCTGGGGTGAGGGTTGACTGGGAAGCCACCGGGGCGGAAGTGCAGTGGGGTTTGGGGCTCGGTGCGGGGTGTGGGGATGTGGGTCACGGAATTGGCCCTGGGAGACCGTCGTGAGGGGGTTAAGGGAGCGTTTGATTTACCGGCTGGTTCTCCTGCCTGGATGAGGAGTCGACATCTGACTAGGGAACTGGGTTTATGGGCTCTCACTGAGGGACCTGGGGGCAGGACAACTCCACAGGCTAACTGTATTCTGGGTGAGCGTAAGGTTTTTTTCTCTTTAGGATGTAATACAAGGATAAAAGAACGAGGGAGGTTTAAATGGGGGCAAGGAAGGAACTTTCCTCCACATCTAGCACTAGCTCAAGTTTTTTGACCCTTCGAAGCATTGGGATGTGATCCATTGCCGGTTTTGAGATAATGCACTGATTAAACCACAAGTTCTGGTTAGAACCATTATCTTCTGGAAGGTGGAATGACCGAATATGCCAAGCAGCAGATTTTGACTTTTTCATAACTTACTCCCTCACCACTTTTAGCTTGGCTCTACATTTTCTTGTAAGGGCCTACCTCCTTATTATTGCAGGACCTGACTTGAGTTTGTTCCATGAGTCTTTTTGATTACTTTTTTTTAAGCAAGGCAAAAAAAAAAAAATTAAAGACGTTATATTTAGTCATTTAAGTATGTCATGAGGGAGAATTTTACTTCCTAATAGCTGTGTCTATATAATTAAACATATTAAGTAACAGTCCCTTATACTTAAAAAGTGTATGAGCAGTCTAATGTTCTGTTAGAATTAAATATATCTTGATATTATTCATTAATAACATTTTGGCAAAACTTATACTTCAGATTAAAAGTGGATAGGAGGATCTAGCATGCAAGAGAATGCTGTTATTTCCTCCAGGGTAAAATTGGTTTTCTTTGGTTCCTCTCCGGACCTAGGTTCCTCTTCTGAAAGTTTTTCATAGGTTGTTTGGATTAAAAACAGCTAATAAAATGATTATGAAGTACTTGGCAAATGTAAATGTGCTATATAATGCTTAACAAGTCCTGTGTGAGAATTAACACTCCTATAGTGTATACCAGTGATTTCAGAGCCACTTTTTTTTTTTAAGTTGTTGATAGACCTTTATTTTATTTATTTATATGTGGTGCTGAGAATCTAACCCAGTGCCTCACACATGCCAGGCAGAGGTGTGATTTTTCTCATGGTTAAATAATTGGTATTGCAAGAGGCTCTGGGTTCCATCTGCAGCACCGTAAATGGACAGACAAATTCATATTGTAATTAATGACACAAATATTTGTTGATTATATCGGTGGTGTAGTGCTAATTTTATTATTAGAAATTATAATAAAAAAGGAAACTTTAAATATGTTGACATCTTTTAAAAAATAGTGTGTTTAAAATTTGAAGTTTGTAAACTTGTGTTTTGGGGATTTACTATTATTAAGGACTAAAAGATTCCTCTGACAGAAAAATTATTTGCTTTTCTAATCAGTTTCTCATATAGGCCCAGTTGGTGAAGTGTATCAAAATTATGCCAATTTGTGACTTCTCCTTAGAAATAATGAACTTTTAATCAAACTTTTGTGTTTTGGTAAAGGATAAATGATGGTCCAAATAAAGTCTTCCCTATGTCTTATTGCTTCATCTCTTTGAAGTGTATTTAATTGAGTTCTCCTGCAGGTTGTTTAATTGTTTGGATGGAATAAAGAGGACTCAAAAGTTTTTGAGTTAAAATGCTTTTAGGTATAGGTAGTTTAAAGGACAGTATGCTTTTAGCTTTTCCATTTTAGTCTAGGAAAGGGATATTTATTCTTATACTCTGCTTGTCTTGGAAGATGGCTTCGATACTGTGTCCTGTATCACATATTACTAGTTGTGCTGAAATGAAAATTCAGTGTTTTCTGATGTGTTAGACCTGTAGGTTAATATTGCTCTCTAGAGTATTTCTGAATACTTGTCTCTAGCATTGCTAGATTGTACCATGTCTTTACCCTTGATGTTTTAAGCATGTTCTCTTTTTCTACTTTATTTTTATTGTTGAAAGTCTTTAGTAGGGTCGTTACACCTCCTTGACTTCATGTGGTAATATACAAGTAGTAAGAATTACTGTCACAGCCACAGATGACCCCATATTCATTGAATTTAGTCTTAAGTCATGATTTCATACCTGTTTTGTACTTGGTTGATTTAGCACTGGAAATTGTTAGTTTCCTCCCCTTCCCTCTGTTGGATACATGCAGTTGAAGTTGGTGTAAATCCTGGCTTCTGGTCAGTATAAACTCAGTTTACTAATTTACTAACCCATTGTAGATTAGTTGAGCAAAATGATTATGATAGAATGTTTGTAATTAAACAAAAGACATAGCCTCTAATAAGTTTTTCTGTTTTAGTTTTTTTTTCCCCATCCCCAGGATGTTGTAATAAATATTTGTGTAAATATTTCTATGTGAAGAAAAATAGTAAATAAAGAGACACGTTGGGCAGGGAGCAGAGAATGGAAAGAAAAATTGTACACATTGCCTTCAATGTAAATTTAAAAGTATCAAGGTTTAGTGAGAGATGTAAAATGCCATTGTGAAGTAGAGATTGACAAACTTTTTCTGTAAAGGGAGAGATTGTAAATATTAGGTTTTGCTGGGCACATAACTTAATACCATACTCTTTGTTCTTATTACAACTTTTTAAACATGTAAGAGCCATTATTATCATGCTGATGTACTGGAGGATAAAAGGCTTCTTCCGGTCATCTTCCCACCCTTGAAACTGAGCTGGTAGTATTTTGGATCTGTACTGTTTTATTTATTTATTTTTATGATGCTGGGGATTAAACTCAGGGTCTTACCATACTAGGCAGACATTCTACCAGTGAGATATACCCTCAGTCCTGTTTTATTTGAAATTAGCTGGCATCATTAAAATAATAAGGTATTGATTATTTTTTAATTGGATGTAATTTATTAAAAAAATCCTTTCTTTCTTCCTTTCTTTCTTTCTCTCTCTCTTTCTTTCTTTCTTTCTTTCTTTCTTTCTTTCTTTCTTTCTTTCTGTTTTTTAATATGGAGGATTGAACCCCAGCCCTTTTTAAATTTTGAGACAGGGTCTTGTTATATTGCTTAGGGACTTGCTAAATTCCTGAGGCTGACCTCAAACTTGTAATTCTCCTTCTTCAGCCTCCAGAATCACTGGAATTAAAGTTGTGCACCACCACGCCTATCTAAAATTCTTCCCTTTAAAGCATGTGTTTATTTTATTTTTGGTACTGGGATTTGAACCCAGGGGCACCTTTATCACTGAGCTACATCTCTGTTCCTTTCTATTTTTTATTTGGAGACAGGGTCTTGCTGAGTTACTTAAGGCCTCACTAAATTGCTGAGGCTGGCCTTGAACTTGAGATCCTCCTGCTCAGTGTTCTGAGTCCCTGGGATTACATACCTATGCTACTGTGCCTGGCAAAGCATATGTTTAAGAAAGTGTTTTTAGCTGGCTATAATGGCACGTAGGCCCAGAACTCTGGGAAGCTGAGACAGGAGAATGACTGGAGCCCAGGAGTTCAAGGCCTGTGTGGGAGACCCCTTTTATTGTCTGTTAGTTTTTATTTTGGTACTAGGGATTGAACCCAGGGATGCTTTACCACCGAATTCCTCAACCCTTTTTAATTTTTTATTTTGAGACAGGGTCTTTTTTTTAAAAATTCTTTTTTTTTTTTTTTTTTTTTAAAGAGAGAGTGAGAGAGGAGAGAGAGAGAGAGAGAGAGAGAGAGAGAATTTTTTTAATATTTATTTTTTAGTTCTCGGCGGACACAACATCTTTGTTTGTATGTGGTGCTGAGGATCGAACCCGGGCCGCACGCACACCAGGCGAGAGCGCTACCGCTTGAGCCACATCCCCAGCCCTTTAAAAATTCTTTTTAGTTATACATGGACACAATATTTTTATTTTGTTTATTTATTTTTATGTGGTGCTAAGGATTAAACCCAGTACCTCACATATGCGAGGCAAGTGCTCTGTCACTGAGCCCCAGCCGGACAACAGGTCTTGTTATTGTTAACTTGTTTCGCGGCCCTTGCTAAATTGCACAGCCTGGCTTTGAACATATAATTCTCCTGCCTCAGCCTCCCAAGTCACTATGATTACAGACATAAACCACTATGGATGTCTTGTTTGAGTTTAAAAATGTATCCTCAAAAGATTATTTTTATTGGGCATGGTGGCACATACTTGTAATCCCAGTGGTCTTGGAGGCCTAGACAGGAAGAGGAAGGATACAGCAGGATTGAAAAAAATTTGGGGGGGGTTACCAGGGATTGAGCTCAGGGGCACTCAACCACTGAGCCACATCCCCAGCCCTTTTTTGAAATTTTATTTAGACATATGGTCTCACTGAGTTGCTTAGCACTTCTCTGTTGCTGAGGCTGGCTTTGAACTTGCTTCCCGCCTCAGCTTCCTTGAGCTGCTGGGATTACAGGCATGCACCACTGCACCCAGCAAGGTTGAAAATTTAAGGCAAGCTTGGTGACACACTTCTATAATCCCAGCAACTAAGGAGAATTGCAAGTTTGAGGCCAGCCTCAGCAAGTTTTTGAGACCCTATTTCAAATTAAAAAATGAAAAGGGCTGGGGATGTGGCTCATTGATTAAGCACCACTGGTTCAATCCCTTGTACCCCAAACCAAACTAAAAAAAAAAAAAGAATAGGGAAAATGAGTGGAGTTGAGGAAGGAGATTTACAGGGG